TTGCAATCCTTTAGCCATTCCTGGACCTGTGTCCAAAAACAAGCTACAAATGGACAGAACCAAAACAAATAATCTAATGATTCTGTCTCTTCACAGGAAAATCTGCAGAGCTGGGAAGATTGTATCCCCCATATCAATAACATTCTATTGGTAGCAATAATTTTATATAATCATTTAAATGTAAAGATTCTTATTTTTGAATCCGGTGTCGTTTTGCGTGTCAGTTCATAAACACTATGCCATGGGATCGGTACGTCAAAAATCTCTTCCCAACTATTTTGCAATCTATATGGGACGGCTGTCAATCCTTTGGTCCTTAAGTGAAACTGATATACTTTTTTATTTATCACAGTTTTCCTTAACCAATTATGTTCTTTAATGCAAGGCCGACAGACAAGTTCCTTACTTTCTCCCCCTTCCACTTTCCTCTTCCACTTTTGCGGTAAGGCTGCAATTATTTGGTTGTAATTTTGGGTAGAGCAGACATTTCCATATGTTTTTGTTAGCTGCATGTGCGACATAACTCCACCAGTCCTACCGATGAAGATTATACCTTTTTTAAACATTCTGTCAAAAAATAAAGGTTTTTTGTCAATTAGTATATTTGAATTTAACCACAATATTTGTTGCATTATTTGTTCTGTCGTTTCTGGAGGATTAAATTGAAATTGTAACCAACTTTCTATGGCTTGTTTTAGAAATAGTGATATTTGGGAGATGATTTCCTTTTCAAATAACTGAAAATGAGTTGTTGTAATCTGAATAAATGGAAAAAGGCCTTTCTTGAACATTGGGTGAGACAATCTTACTAATTTGCTTGAGAACCAGTTCGGATTTAAGTATAACTTGTGTATGACTGAAGCTTTTAGTAATAGGTCTAATGCTTTAAAATTTAATTATTTCTGTCCTCCGAATTCATATTAATTATATAAATAGGCCCTTTAATTTTGTCTGGCTTGCCGTTCCAAATAAAATTGAATATTTTTTTCTCATATAATTTAAATAACTGTTCGCTAGGCGTAGGCAAGGCCATAAGCAAATAAGTAAACTGGGATAATACTAAAGAGTTAATCAGGGTGATTTTTCCACAAATTGACAGGTATTTTCCTTTCCATGGTAGTAAGATCTTATCTATTTTTGCTAACTTTCTATTAAAATGTATTGAAGTGAGATCATTTATTTCCTTTGGGATATGTATTCCGAGTATATTCACATCACTATCAGACCATTTTATTGGTAAACTACATGGTAATGTAAAAATTCTATTTTTTTGTGATCCAATACGTAATATAGTACATTTGTCATAATTTGGTTGTATTCCAGAGAGGTTAAAAAATGTATCTAGATCCTCTATGAGGCTGTGGAGGGATTCTAGTTGTGGATTTAAAAGAAAACATGAATCATCAGCGTACAATGACACCTTTGTTTTTAAGCCCTGGTTTTCTAATCCTCTGATATTATTATTGGATCTGATTTTAATAGCTAACATCTCGATGGCCACAATAAATACATATGCCGATATGAACAACCTTGTTTCACTCCTCTTGACAGTTTAAAACATTCTGAGAAATAGCCATTATTTACTATTTTACACCTAGGGTTACTATACATGATTTTGACCCATTTTATAAAGAGATTCTCCAAAATTGAAATGCTCCAGGCATTTATATATACACCCCAGTCGTACTTTATCAAATGCCTTTTCGAAGTCTGCTATGAATAGCAGGCCTGGTTTCCCATATTTTCCATAGTGTTCTATTGTTTCCAATACTTGCCTTATATTATCTCCAATGTATCTTCCATGTAAAAAACCTGTCTGATTAGAATGAATAATATCCGACAATACCTTTTTAATTCTATGCGCTATACATATTCCTATAATTTTTGCATCACAACACTGAAGTGTAAGGGGCCTCCAATTTTTAAAATGGACTGGATCTTTATATTTTCCACTTGTATCCTGTTTCAGTAATAATGAGATCAGACCTTCTTCTTGAGTGTCAGATAATCTACCATTTACATAGGAGTGGTTAAAACATGCTAATAACAGTCCTCTTAGTATATCAAAAAAGGTTTGGTATACCTCGACTGGTATGCCATCCCACCCTGGAGTTTTCCCAGACTTAAAATCTTTAATTGCAACTACTTAGTATTAGTTACTAGATAGTAATTATGTTGTTAGCAACGTTGTAGTTTTATTGGAATTGCAAGTATGTAATTACATAGCTATATTGTTTAGAGCCATAGGTTATTACACAGGTGGAACAGGGTATGGTGGAGGGAGGACTCAGGGGGAGGTGTCCTGTAATAACATGTCACCAAACTGTAATTGCATTGCAATTACTATTTACCTACTTGGTTGTTACTAAGAGCATTACTATGTAGCTACTATATAACTATATCAACTTAAGGATAAGTGTAGTCATGTTTTCTAATTAAACATCCTCAATCATTCTGTATATGCTGAAGTTGATTTGGTTTTCTAGCTTTATTTGAGTTATGGCAGAAGGAAATATATCAATATGTATGTTTAGAATAAATGCTATTGTGTTCTGATTTCAGGAAGCATGTTAATTAATTGTTTTATGTTGTATACGTTAACAGCCAAAACCCCAGACGACATAGCAAAAAAGTACAAGAAGGTCCTGACGACCTAAAAAAGAGAGGAAGCATATCCACTGCTTTCCACAGCGTCGGTGTGGCTCGCAACACTGTGGCGATGAGTGCCCCTCTGGCAGAGATCATGCTAGTGGCGCCAGAGTTCCTTCGTTCACAGCCAGTGTTTGACAGCTCTAAAGAGACGCTCAACCAATATGCAAGGAGGATCACCAAAAATGCAACAGCAGAGATGAGCGGAGATGGGGGCGGCAGGTAGCTTAGCGGTTAAGAGTGTTGTGACAGTAACCGAAATGTCGCTGGTTCTAATCCCCGAGCCGACTAGGTGAAAATTCTGTCGATGTGCCCTTGAGCAAGGCACTTAACCCTAATTGCTCCTGTAAGTCGCTCTGGATAAGAGTGTCTGCTAAATGACTAAAATGTAATAAAAGAGAAGAGGCGTAATGAACTGCTCCCTATCACTTAAATTCAAATAAACACTGATTATGCACACATGCCCACACACATACACTAGATTGAGAGAAAGTACGAGTAAGATAGTGTGTTCCCGCTGTAAAAAAAATTAAAATGTGTTAGTCTGTTTTTGGAAATGAGGTGCATGGAACTGCTCCATATCCCCTATAAACGTTATTTTGCACACCTTTATGTTTAACTGTTAAGGATACAGCATGTTCTGGCTGTAAATTCGAATAAAAAATAAACAAAATATTGTGAGTGGTTGACGCTTGCTCCAGATGTGCAGTGGAGAGAGCAGTCTGTACATGTTCCAAGAAAAATAATCACAGAATTTACATTAAGTTGCTTGTTCCTGCGTAGAATTTTTTAAATTACCATACTTTTCTTGATAACGACATTGTAATAACTCAATTTTATCTACCCTGCAAAATATTTAATAATATTGAAAGTAAATAGTAATTACACTTTAAGGTGCTGTAACAACGTTTTTCCTAGATTGAGATGGATTCCCATTGATCACAACTACAAGTACTGTACTGGGTGTCTGCCATCGTTGTCACATAGTAACTACATAGTAATTACCTGAGATTCACAATGTGTTTCACTTTACATTAACTTGCTTGTTCCTGTGTAGAAACATTGTAATTACAAAACTTTTCTTTATAACGACATTGTAATAACTGTGATATACCCTGCAAAGTACAAAAGTGACATTCTTTCCAGATTGACATGGATTGCCATTGATCACAACTAAAAGTACTACTGTACTGGGTGTTTGCCATCATTGTATTTTTCCAATGATTGTAATAAAAAGGTTTACCCTACTGTGTTTTACTTTACTTGAAGCTGTTTGCTAATGACTACCTACATTAACATTATACATGATATCATTTTGAACAACATTTCACTTACATTTTTTAAGTCAGGGAAATAAACCCTTAAATCTATGTATCTATCAAAGGCAGTTACATAGTATTTACAAAGGTTATACCATTATGTGTTCACTTTACATTAAGTCCTTGAACCTGGGTGGGTACATTATAGTGCCATGCATATTCATTGTAAATACATTGCTTTTACATTTAATTCAGTACATCCTTTAAGCCAAATAATATGGAAATAAGACAACTTAAGCTGTAGTTAATGATAGGGTGTGCATTGTTACAAAAGCTGACAGAGTCCTAGCCCAGCTTATTTTGGTGGTAGTGATTTATGTAGTTACATGTAACAAGGTTACATATTAGGATGCATTGTTAACATGGTGCTACACAGGAGACTGCAAAAGTGTAATTACAGAACATGTTAGTTACATTTGGAACAAGACATCTTGTAATTACATATACATAAATTATGAGTAATTGCACATGTGGAATAACCTCCGACAAGCTGATTTGTAATTACGTATCCTTGTTCCACTTGTGTAATAACCTATAACGCTAAACCCTTATTACAGTGTAATTACATAGTATTTACATAGTAATGACTATTTACCTACATATTGATTAATGTCGACTTAAGGTAAAGTGTTACCCACTATTGTTCTAAATTCAATCACACTCTTCTTCATCCTCATCATTCAGTTCATTCAAATTCAATTGTGAAGTCGTGCACAATTATCAGTTTCTATTTGGTTTATATCATTAACGTCATTCATTCAGTGAGGAGAGAGACACTAGAGACACTATATGACCCTCCAGTAGCCTCTAATAATGGTCATATTGTTGGACCATACGCTACTGTTATACAGTCTGCGACATTAGCTTGTTACACTGTTCACCACATTAGACTAACTCTGACAATAACAAAAGTGGCTGAAAGTCTACACCATCCCATTTTACAGTACATTCCGTGGTGTGTGTGTGTGTGTGTGTGTGTGTGTGTGTGTGTGTGTGTGTGTGTGTGTGTGTTGCACCTGGAACCGAGGCCAGTCAGTGGGCATGTCCGGTCTGGGTGTTCTTCCACCAGCGCAGTTTGTCCTGCTCATTGATGGCCATGAGAGTGCTGTGAAACTGATTATACACAGCCTTCACACTGGGAGAGAGAAGGAGAGGGGGAGAAAAGGGGGAGAGAGAAAGATAGAAAGGGGAAGTAGAGAGAGGGGGGGTGAGAGATCAGGGCATGACAGAAATGATCAGTGAGAGATGAGATAAAGAAAGGCCGCCCACATCCACACACACCCTCCTTGTAACAGTGACTGCAGGTGTAGCCTACCTCTCATTGTTGGTGATGTCATCTTCCTCTTCTCCTGTGATTGGACAAAGATATACTCCATCTCCTCCATGTAGCGAGGGGTGTAGCGGGTCACCTCCTCCAGAATCATCTCAAAGCAGGGATCGCACCTGGGGGTGTCACATTGGTGGGAGATGTACACATTATTACACACACCTACGTACATAGATAAAGGCAGGTTTCCAGTAGAACATCATATCATGACAATATTGAGAATAGGGTCAATGTAAACAACATTTTTAAATTTGTACTTTGATTGGGGTTGTACTGTATTTTCAAATGTGTTGGAGGATTATAGGTGGATATCCTCGATCTAGAATTTTCCTTTCTTTATATCAGGTATGGTATGACTGCCAGAAACAAATAACGCTTTGTAAATGATAGACATTTAATCATAGGATTTGATGGTTTCAAATACTAACGTTAATTATTCTACTCATCAAGAAGTATGGGTAGCTGCAGCCTGATATGGCGACTGGAGTATGGCCGATTGGGTGTGTCGAAAGGTGTGGGTGTACGGAAAGCAAATCAGCTAATTGGGCAGATTTGTTGCCACTCAATACTGTTTCGCTTGGATGATTGGGCTGCACTATGAATCAATAGTAACCCGGCGACTAGTGCTCCGGTGTTGTGCCTGTCGACTTGAAGTGCTTCCTACTGGGTAACATTTTCATCAGGTTTCCTTGATATTACATATGGTATCACTCAAGGGTCAATTTTGGGCCCTGTACTTTTTACTATCTATATAAAAAATATTGGTTTGTCTGTAAGACATAGTTGTGTATTCTGTTGCCCCTTCTGTTAATTTTTTTTTTTTATGTCATTTTAGCAGACGCTCTTATCCAGAGCGACTTACAGTTAGAGCATACATTTTATTTTTTTTCATACCCCCTGTGGGAATCGAACCCACAACCCTGGCGTTGCAAACGCCGTGCTCTATCAATTGAGCTACATCACTGCCGGCTATTCCCTTCCCTAGGCCAATTGCGCACCGCCCCATGGGTCTCCCGGTCGCGGCCGGCTACGACAGAGCCTGGATTCGAACCAGGATCTCTAGTGGCACAGCTAGCACTGCAATGCAGTGCCTTAGACCATTGCGCCACTCGGGAGATAACAAGGCTCTTTCAGAACTACGATCTGCCTTTTTTGCTTTACAGAAAGCCTTTGTCGAACTGAAATGTATACTTAATGCAGGTAAAACTAAGTATATGTTATTTTCCAAAAAGCAAAAAAAAAAATTTGAGGATTATTGTGTCCCTGCTTATAAATATCTGGGTATCTGGCATTGACGAAAAGCTGTCTTACAAAAACCATATTGATGAGTTAGTTAAGAAGTTAAGAATTAAAATTGGCTTCCTTTACAGGAATAGGGTATGCCTTTCGTTAAATAGAAGAAAACAAATCATTCAATTGACATTCCTTCCGGCTTTAGACTGGTGATGTTGTCTATGTGAATACAGTTGCCGCTGTATTGAAGCCATTGGACGCAGTTTATCATAGTTTACTACACTTTATTATGGCCGATCGGTTCAGTACACTTTACTGTATTCTGTATAAGAAAGTAGGCTGGCCCTCTCTCAAAGGGATACTTCAGGATTGTGGCAATGAGGCGCTGTATCTACTTCCCAGACAGGTGGATGCAATTTTTATGTCTCTGTGTGCAGTTTGAAGGAAGTTGCTAACTAGCGCTAGCGCAATTGGTAACTAACGTTAGCGCAATGACTGGAAGTCTATTGGTATTTAGCATGCTAACAGATACTCATTGACTTCCAGTCATTGCGCTAACGCTAGTTAGCATTGGCTCGCAAAACTACCTCTAACTTCCTTCATACTGGACACGCACTGCCAAAATCTTGAAGTATCCCTTTAAGTATTGTAGATCAATGTACTGCTCTCTTTTTGTTTATAGGGCCCTCTAGTGCAAACTTCTGCCATAACTTACTTCATTGTTAAATTTCAGACATACGAGTCACCAGACCCGATTTCAGGGATGGCTAACTCTGGCGATCCCTGTCAAAGTAAAGGTGAAGTAAAAAAAATACATTCAAAACATCTGACATGAAGACTTCATAACACCTTCATTAATGTTGTGTCATCCTTTATAACATATTTCTGTCACGTCCATGTTATATATGACATAATTGTGAAAGTGTGTCTGATAATTCAGGATATTTTTTCAAAATAAAAGTCCCCCTAAACCATACCCTTCATATAAAGTGTTACTGGATTTACATTAATCCATTACATCATGGACATTATAAATGGCCCATACATCAAGGTTTATACCATGAAGACATTCACTTCAGTAGATGATGACACTATTAATGTCAAACCTGTCAGATTCACTAACTAAATTGCTGCGAGAGAATGAATCAATGTCTTACAGCTGATGGTTATGATCCTCATCTGACATTTATGTCCCCAGTTCATCAAACAATATGAAGACTTCTTGAAATTCTGAATTATGCTCTTTTCCATTGACATGTGTTAGATTGGCTATATAAAATGTCATCATGCATATTACTATTTTTCTTGATAATAATGTTTTGTTTTGATCAACAAAACTAAAGTGTTAACAACATTTCTTCAATGACATCTTCTAATGCTGCTTGAGAATACAATTTCAATTAACAAATTGCATAAAAATAATACTGTCAACATACACTGGCAGTTGGTTACATAAACATACAGTGGGGAGAACAAGTATTTGATACACTGCCGATTTTGCAGGTTTTCCTACTTACAAAGCATGTAGAGGTCTGTAATTTTTATCATAGGTACACTTCAACTGTGAGAGATGGAATCCAGAAAATCACATTGTATGATTTTTAAGTAATTAATTTGCATTTTATTGCATGACATAAGTATTTGATCACCTACCAACCAGTAAGAATTCCGGCTCTCACAGACCTGTTAGTTTTTCTTTAAGAAGCCCTCCTGTTCTCCACTCATTACTTGTATTAACTGCACCTGTTTGAACTCGTTACCTGTATAAAATACACCTGTCCACACACTCATTCAAACAGACTCCAACCTCTCCACAATGGCCAAGACCAGAGAGCTGTGTAAGGACATCAGGGATAAAATTATAGACCTGCACAAGGCTGGGATGGGCTACAGGACAATAGGGAAGCAGCTTGGTGAGAAGGCAACAACTGTTGGCGCAATTATTAGAAAATGGAAGAAGTTAAAGATGACGGTCAATCACCCTCGGTCTTGAGCTCCATGCAAGATCTCACCTCGTGGGGCATCAATGATCATGAGGAAGGTGAGGGATCAGCCCAGAACTACACGGCAGGACCTGGTCAATGACCTGAAGAGAGCTGGGACCACAGTCTCAAAGAAAACCATTAGTAACACACTACACCGTCATGGATTAAAATCCTGCAGCGCATGCAAGGTCCCCCTGCTCAAGCCAGCGCATGTCCAGGCCCGTCTGAAGTTTGCCAATGACCATATGGATGATCCAGAGGAGGAATGGGAGAAGGTCATGTGGTCTGATGAGACAAAAATAGAGCTTTTTGGTCTAAACTCCACTCGCCGTGTTTGGAACAAGAAGAAGGATGAGTTTAACCCCAAGAACACCATCCCAACCGTGAAGCATGGAGGTGGAAACATCATTCTTTGGGGATACATTTCTGCAAAGGGGACAGGACAACTGCACCGTATTGAGGGGAGGATGGATGGGGCCAAGTATCGCGAGATCTTGGCGAACATCCTCCTTCCCTCAGTAAGAGCATTGAAGATAGGTCGTGGCTGAGTCTTCCAGCATGAAAACGACCCGAAACACAGTGGCTCCGTAAGAAGCATCTCAAGGTCCTGGAGTGGCCTAGCCAGTCTCCAGACCTGAACCCAATAGAAAATCTTTGGAGGGAGCTGAAAGTCCGTATTGCCCAGCGACAGCCCCGAAACCTGAAGGATCTGGAGAAGGTCTGTATGGAGGAGTGGGCCAAAATCCCTGCTGCAGTGTGTGCAAACCTGGTAAAGACCTACAGGAAACGTATGATCTCTGTAATACTGCAAACAAAGGTTTCTGTACGAAATATTAAGTTCTGCTTTTCTGATGTATCAAATACTTATGTCATGCAATACAATGCAAATTAATTACATAAAAATCATACAATGTGATTTTCTGGATTTTTGTTTTAGATTCTGTCTCTCACAGTTGAAGTGTACCTATGATAAAAATTACAGACCTCTACATGCTTTGTAACTAGGAAAACCTGCAAAATCGGCAGTGTATCAAATACTTGTTCTCCCCACTGTATATGCACCAATCTATTTGCAAACTATGGTGGAAAATAAGTACTTGGTCACCTACAAACAAGCAAGATTTCTCGCTCTCACAGACCTTTAACTTCTTCTTTAAGAGGCTCCTCTGTCCTCGACTCGTTACCTGTATTAATGGCACCTGTTTGAACTTGTTATCAGTATAAAAGACACCTGTCCACAACCTCAAACAGTCACACTCCAAACTCCACTATGGCCAAGACCAAAGAGCTGTCAAAGGACACCAGAAACAAATTTGTAGACCTGCACCAGGCTGGGAAGACTGAATCTGCAATAGGTAAGCAGCTTGGTTTGAAGAAATCAACTGTGGGAGCAATTATTAGGAAATGGAAGACATACAAGACCACTGATAATCTCCCTCGATCTGGGGCTCCACGCAAGATCTCACCCCGTGGGGTCAAAATTATTACAAGAACGGTGAGCAAAAATCCCAGAACCACATGGGGGGAACTAATGAATGACCTGCAGAGAGCTGGGACCAAAGTAACAAAGCATACCATCAGTAAAACACTACACCGCCAGGGACTCAAATCCTGCAGTGCCAGACGTGTCCCCCTGCTTAAGCCAGTACATGGCCAGGCCCGTCTGAAGTTTGCTAGAGTGCATTTGGATGATCCAGAAGAGGATTGGGAGAATGTCATATGGTCAGATGAAACCAAAATATGACTTTTTGGTAAAAACTCAACTCGTCGTGTTTGGAGGACAAAGAATGTTGAGCTGCATCCAAAGAACACCATACCTACTGTGAAGCATGGGTGTGGAAACATCATGCTTTGGGGCTGTTTTTCTGCAAAGGGACCAGGACGACTGATCCGTGTAAAGGAAAGAATGAATGGCGCCATGTATCGTGAGATTTTAAGTGAAAACCTCCTTCCA